CCGGGCTGGCCCAGCTTGCAGGGGTGCTGGTGGGGAGGGAGGCTTTGCGGTGCTGGGAGCCCGAGGGCACCGGTGCTCCCATCCCAGTTGCCACCCATGGGGGCTGCTTGGTGCTTGGACCCGCACCCCAGATCAGGAGGTGCTGGGATGGGTCCCAGCTCACCCAGGACTGGGATCAGCACAGGGAAGGGGGACAAGGCTGGGAGGTGGGGGCTGAGCCTGGCTCTGCCCCTGTCAGCTTCAGCCCCTGCCATCAGGGGGCTGCTGGGGTTGTAACCCCACTCCTGCCACCAAAGTGTGTCCCCAGAGCCACAGGAATGAGCCGGGGCTCCACCTCTGATGGCTTTGTGACTTGGGTTGGGGGAACAGCGGGGCTCCCCTGTCACCCCTGTCCCCCTCCTCCCCGCAGGGCACGAGGCCACCCGTGACAGCTCGGCGGGGGCCAGCAGGAGCAGCGAGGGGCGATGGTGGTTCCCCTGCCCTTGTTATGAACCCCAACCTGTGCAGCAGCCGCCCAAACCAAGTCCTTGATTTTCCTGAAGGCGGCAGGTCCGCTCTCACCCCGCGGCGACGGGGCTCAGCCCGATGTGGCTGGAGGCTCGGCTTAATCCGTGGTCTCCGGCTCAAAGGCAGCCGCAGCCGCTGCCCTTGGCCCCTCTGTCTCTTCTGAATATTAAACGGCACCTTGCGCCGTGCTGGGTGCTGGGAGGCCTGGGCTGGGTGCTGGGAGACCCTTTGGGATGATGGGAGGCAGCAAACGAGCTGAGCGGGTTGGCTTGGCCAGGGGGGATTCATTAGCCCTGCCAGTGCCCCGGTGTGGCAATACCACTGGGATCCAGCATGACATGTCCTGGCGGGCAGGGATGGCCGTCAGGAGCAGCCAGAAGGCTGCAGGGTCTTATCCTTGTGTCCTCGTGTCCTCATGTCCTTGTGTCCTTGACCCACAGTTGCAGTAGGAAATACTTTAGCAAAAACAGGGTGCTGTGGCAGAGCAGGGCTCTGGGGCAAGCTCCTTTCCCAGGGCCAGTGAGGCACCGGGCGGCCCTGGGTGGCACTGGACACTGGATCCAGCTGCAGGGATGGGATGGGAGAGACAGACCTGGAGATCTTTGGAGTAGGAAATACTTTAGCAAAAACAGGGTGCTGTGGCAGAGCAGGGCTCTGGGGCAAGCTCCTTTCCCAGGGCCAGTGAGGCACCGGGCGGCCCTGGGTGGCACTGGACACTGGATCCAGCTGCAGGGATGGGATGGGAGAGACAGACCTGGAGATCTTTGGAAATTCGGCTGCGGGCGAGAGGCAGCCGTGATGCTG